GGGCATGAAACTAACTTTTAATTTTAGGAACATTACATGCAAAGAATCAGAAAGAGCTGGTAGTTTGGGGTGCTTTTTAAAAATTACAGACTAATTCATGCTGTTTGTAAAAATATGGGCAGTTCAGGAGTATAGAACATTAAATTCTCGCCTGCTTGCCCCCTTCCCATTTTTGGAGATAAGCCCTGTGCAGAAATTTTCTAGGGATATACATATATGCATATTTTAACAAAAATCTTATAATAATTTATACATATATAGTATGTATGTGAGACCTCTTTTCTCACTTTTTATTTCTTGCACATATTTCAAAGTTAGCTAATATAGATTTAGCTTATACTTTTTAATGGTTACATAATGTTCCATTTTATGAATGCCTCTGTTTTATTTAGCCATTCGTTTATTACTAGATACTCTGGCTTTTCCCACTTTTTCATTCTGATCTTTTGGAATCATAGGCTTAATACTCTCCTCAATATAATATGTGAATATGAAACAGAATATCAAGTGTAGTGCTTCTGTTACTATAATATTGAATATAATAAATATAAACCATAGCCTACGGGTTGGCAAACTTTTTCTGTAAATAGCCAGATAATAAATATTTTAGGCTTCGTGATTCATACAGTCAGTCTCTGTTAGAACTACTCACTTCAGCCATTGTAGTATACAAATAGCTGTAGACAATACGTAAATGAATAGATGTAGCTGTGTTCAAATAAAGCTTTATGGGCACTGTAATTTGAGCTTCACGTCATTTTCAGATGTCACAAAGTATTCTCTTTTTTATTACTTTTCAACCATTTGAAAATGTAAGTTATTCTTGGCTCACAGGCTATATCTAAACAGGAATTGGCCCCAGATTGGCTAGTGGGCCATAGTTTGCCAACCACTGCCCTGGACTGTACAGTTTAGAGAGAGTAAGTATGTATGTCTATGTATATTCACCCATTGAAATGTTATCTACCTTAGTCTCTTTTCTAGCTAAAAAGAACTCTTCTCATATACATTTAGTGGGTACAAATGCAGCTTTTGACACATGGGTATATTAAGTGGTGGTGAAGTGTGGAGTTTTAGTGTAGCCATTACCCAAATAGTATACATTGTATCCATTAAGTAGTTTATCATCCTTCATCCCCCTCCAACCCTTCCAAGTTGCCATGGTCTCTTATTCTACACTCCATGTCCATGAGTACACATTATTTAGCTCGCACTCATAAGTGAAGACATGTGATATTTGACTTTCTGTTTCTGAGTTGTTTCACTTAAGATAATGGCCTCTAGTTCCATTCATGTTGCTGGAAAAGACATATAATTTTATTCTCTTTTTTATGGTTGAGTAGTGTTCCATGGCATACATACCACATTTTCTTTATCCAGTCATCCACTGATGGACACTTAGGTTGATTGTGTATCTTTGCTATTGTGAATAGTGCTGCAGTAAACATGCAAGTGTAGGTATCATTTTGATAGAATGATTTCTTTTTCTTCAGGTAGATACCCAGCAGTGGGATTGCTGGATTGTATGGTAGTTCTGTAGAGGATGCAGTCATTTACATTCTCACTGACGGTGTATAAGCATTCCCTTTTCTTCACATCCTTATCAACATCTGTTATTTTTTGTCTAAAAAGAATTTTTTTTAATGTATCTTTCCTGAGCTGATAAAACTTGGTAGTGTTAGAAAGTGCTGTTTGCAAATGAGAATGTACAATTGAAAGTGTTAGCTGAGCTGGAAGTGATTCTGGGGTGCCATCTCAAGGGTCACTCACTGTGAGTTATGTCTGGCCTTCCAAGGGGAATAAGATTACAATTAGGACCCAGGAATATTTGTAATAGGTCTCATTTGGATTTCAGAGATAGCAGAAGAGAGCACTATTAGCAATCTGCTGAAATCTACCTTCATCTTCCTCCCTACCTAAGCCAAGCTGGCCTCAGCAGCCCAGCTCATGTCTCAATCACATTAGAGAAATTTCTCCCTTATACACATGCCATTAGTTGGCTGTATATCTTTCCTGACAGTTTTTAACTAACGTTACTTTGGACTTTCCAGCCAGAGAGAACTGGAGTTTTTATTCATTATATCATAATATTTCTTTCTTAAAACGTCTTAGACAAGAAAAAAAGAGCTTCATACAGTGAGGTCAGATAACAACTTCTTTTTAATCTAAGCTATCTGCCCTTGGTTTATTGCTTTGGATATTATTAATAATAAGGGGAATCATAAGGAAGTCAATGAGCCATTTGAAGGAAAAATAGGAAACTTTCTTTTCTTTTTCATAGAATGGACAGAAGATCACTCAGCCCTTGTGCCTCCTGTTATTCCAAATCACCCGCCAAGCAATCCAGAGCCAGCCAGAGAAGCTCCACTTCAGGGTAAAGTACTTGTTTTTCTAATTGTGTTATGGTTTTAGCTCAAAATCTAATTTTTTTAAAGGTATTTTAAAAAGTGCAATCTTGTAACCCCCAAGTCATTCCTTTGATAGTGAAAACCATAAATAATAAAAGCAATGATAAATGTATTGTTAGACTTGTCAAGAAAAATTAGGAATCTTCCTGAATAATTTTTTTCCAACTATTTGTAATATTTTAAAAATAAAGACTACTTGTTAAATGATCATTCAAACCAACGTTTCTCAATGTCAGCACCATTGCCATTTTGGGGTAAGTAAATCTTTGTTGTGTGGGGCTGTCCTGGGCATTGTGAGATGTCCCCTGGCCACTAGATGCCAGTAGCACACAGCCCACCTCTCATTGTGACAAGGAAATTGTCCCCAGACATTGTCAGATGTCTCTGGGGAGCAAACCCATCCCAGAGATAGGAATCACTGATTTAGAGATCACAGATATTTAATAGTATGTTTAAAAAGATAAATCTGAAACTCAGCATTAGATATTTCAAGATTCTAGCCAACATATTAGGTTTTGTCTAAGACTTTCCTATAAATGCAAATGGTTTGATACTGTGTTTTCAGTTCTCATTCCCTATTCTTGCTGCAGTTTTGGTATTTATGCATGTTTACAACGTTTCAATGTATCTTGTTTGTTTACATTCACACATAGGATGAGGCCTTTATAGAGGATTATTCTTGAAAATTGGAAGTTCCAGAACCTTGCAACTTTCAGGCCTCATTACTCTTAAATTATAGAAAATATTTGTGTTTAGTTTTCTTTTTCTTTTAAACAAGCATCATGCTTGACAGAGTTGGGGAATGTTTGTGGTACAGAAGCAATAGAAATACTATAAAATTTTCCTTCCTTTCTGCATTTTAAAAGAGATTTAATTGTGTTAGATATAAAATGATAAGTAGAATAATTCATTTTTAAAATTTTAATTCCTTCATTATAATTTTCATAAGAAAGAAATTGTTTCTCTGCTAGCTGACATTGTCATGAGGTTAGAATTAATATCAATTTATGTAAAATAATTTCAGGCATGAATATACTTTTTAATGGTGATAATGGCTTTAATAAAGATAGGATATAGTAGATAATAATATGTTGATTAATATCAGTATGACTGTGGATTCCTCAGTTTTGTGGGTTTTTTTGTAAATATAAAATTCCTTCTGTCGGCTCATGCCTTCTTACCTTCCCCTCTCTCACAGTAAGTTAGCCTCCTTTCAGTTCTTTTAACTAGCAAAACTGTGGACCGCTTCTGAGCCTTTGCAGAGGCTGTTCCTTCTATTTGCAGTTTTCTTTTCCTCCTACTTCTTACTCTGCTAACTCCTGTTCACCTCAGGTCTTTGCTAGATTCCCCTACCATGTTTACTCTTAACCATCCTGTACTTCACATTTATGAAATTTAACCGTTGTAACTAGTGTTCATTTATGTGCTATTATTTAAAAATAGTTTCCTCATTAGACTTTAAATCCTATGGAGACAAGAGACTGTGGTTCTCTGTTTTTTGTTTTTTCACTGTGAGATAATCCCAAACAAGGCATAATCCGTTGGTATCTATTTCTCATGACATTATTGAGTGAAACAGTATCCATCCATGTATCTATCCATCCATCCACATATACATATAGAATAGCCAACCAGACTTTCTTACATAACTATCTTAGAAATTAAGTAAATTAAAGCTATAAAGGTTCAGGTTCTGGGTGCCAAATGCTTAGTGCACCAACTAAGAATTGAGATGATATTTATCTGTATTAGACACTTCATCTCAGATTCTTTCTTTTCTTTCACTCAACCTTTTTTTCTTTTTCTTTTTTTCTCTTCTTCCTTACTTCCTTATATCTCTCCCTTATTTCCTTAGTCATCTAATGATTGACTAAGACATCCACTGGTGCCTTCGTTCAGGCTTCTATAACAAGTTGCCATAGACTAGGTGGCTTAAACAACGAACATTTATCTATCAGTTCTGGAGAGTCGGAAGTCGAAGATCAAAGTGCTGGCAGAGCCAATGTCCAATGAGGGTCCACTTCCTGGTTTACAGACGGCCATTTTCTCACTGTGTCCTCGCGTGGTGCAGAGTAGAGAGAGAAAAGGCTAGTCCTTTTCCTCTTCTTATAAGAATAAGCCCATCATGTGGGCTCCACTCTCATGGTATAATCACCTCCCAAAGGCCCCACTTCTAAATACCATTCAACAGTGTCTGGGAATGTTCAAGCTCATTAAACTTTCCTTGGGATTGACTCATTTATTCTTACAACCCTTCTACTGTGTAGTCTCTCTGTTGATCCACACCTTTCAAGCACCCTTATAATCTTTGGAATATAACTGATACCAAAGAAACCAGTTAAAATCCATACCATTTGACTCCAAGTTGTGATTTCAATAAACATTAACCTAGACTTAAGCCTCATTGGTTATAAGTCTGGGTTACCTGCCTACTGGTTAAGTGTCTTGATTAGCCATCTAGTGTTTAATCTTGGGCAGTATCTAGCGTTGACAGACTGTCAGGAAGAAGCCATATAGCTAATTTGGTTAGATTGTTTGGTAGTAATTTTGCCAAGTTCACAGGCCAACTAAATTCTCCCCTGATCAAGGGTGTACTTCTAATCCCAGCAAGTGATAATTTGGAGATTTGCTCTTATGAAAACTCTCTAGCTTCAAGCTTATGCTTGGAGAGAGATTTTTGCAGCTACCCCTCTACCACACTCCCTCTACCACCACCACATTCAAAACAATAACTCATTTATTGAGCTCTTAATTATGTGCCAAGTACCTTCCTAGGCACTTTACCTACATTATCTGCTATGGTTGTTTCTCACAACTATCGTATGAAATAGGTATCATCATTACCTCCATTTATGTCTGTGATACTCTGGCAGAGAGGTTTAGTAACTTGCCCAAGGCCATATAGCCACTAAGTAGCAGAGCACAGATTTGAACACTATTCATGAGGAATAGTTTAACTTCTGGTTGAAAGGTTTTTGGCTGTTTTGGTTTTTGTGTGATACCTCATTTGTGTAGTCTAAATCTATGTTGTTCAGTATGGAAGCCACTGGTTACATGTTGCCATTTAAATTTAAATAAATTACAGTTAAAAAATAAAACAAAATCAGTTTTTCAGTCTCACTAGCCATATTTCAAGGGCTCAGTGGCTATATGTGACTAGTGGCTGCCATGTTGGACAGTGCAGACACAGAACATTTGCATCATCACAGAAAGTGCCATTAGACAGTACTGGTCTAGGGTATTTAAACAGTAGTGTCAAGAAGTGACATTTCTTTCCCCTCCCCTCAGCCTGGCAGGGAAACATGCACCTAAGGTTCATTCAGGTGCAGAGTTTCGGGGCAAGACGCAGAACATTCTGATCAGTGAGTCTAAGGAAGGAGCTGAAAATAGGTACATTTTAAAAAGCTACCCAGGTGATTTTCCCTAGGTAAGACACAACCAAGCCTTACCACTGGTGACTGGTAAACAGAGGTTAGGATATTAGAAAATTACATGTACCACAGGGCTGCAGCTGAGAGCTCCAAATTCCACTGCTTGTGGGGTGAAAAGCATTTCTTTCCAAAAGCTGCATTAACTAATGATCCACCCCTATGTAAAAAGGAATAAAATGTGCATAAATGTGAAACCCTCTGATCTTCCCTCCCTTGTTAAACATTGGAAAAGGAAGTCAGTTGTATAATTTCAAAGCTCTGCTCTTGTCTTTATTAAGTTAACATTCTCAGCACAAAATATGTTAATGTATTTTTTTTAATTAGATAAACTGCCAGGCACATTTTCACATTTTCTAACTTAGCCTATAATAAGAGTGAAAAGCTCCAACACCCAAACACCTCTTTTCAGCCTTCTCAAAGACATGTTAAATATCATTTCTATGTGCTTTTATTTGTTCATTCATTCACTCACTCAACAAACATTTTTGGAGCACGTAAAATGTACCAGACAATATTCTAGATACTGGATATAAATGCAAAAATCCTCATAGAGCTAACATTCTAGTGGTTTTATGTACCTGCGTATCAATGCCCCTCATGCATGGGAGTGGGGGATGGTAAGAAAACCAAAACAGTAAGTAAGATGTATATTCTGTTGGAAGGTGGTAAATGCTAAGGACAAAACTAAAGCAGGGAAAAGGGATTGGGAATGTATGTTGGAGGTGCTGCAATTTTTAGCAAGGTGGTTAGGGAAGGTCTTGCTGCGAAAGTAATGGCTGTTGATGATGTCTCTGCGTAACTGAAATGTGTTCCCCTTCAGGGCGCCTGGAATGCCCTAGCAGCACCTGCTGCAAGAGTGTAGGCCACTCACCCTCCTCCCCCTAAAGTAAACTTTGGGGGTTATCTTACCTCACCTCGATTTCCATCTGATAATTATCTTGGCAACTGTCTCCCCAAAGCTCTTAGTACAAGTGACACCACCCTCCCGATGCCTTAGCGGATGACTTTGCCTGGCGAATCCTTCTAAGTCCTGCCTTTCTTTAGCCACTGTGACAGGGCTGTAGTTTGTCAGGCTTCCAATAAGCTTTAGGACTGTGCCAGAGAGCAGGTTAGCGAAAGGACCTCCGATTGCCGGCCATTTAAAAGAGCCTTCTTTGCAGGAGCCAGAAACTTTTAAAATATGCAGTTAAAAATTGTATGCATGCCCAGAGACCTTTTAAGCCCTTTTAGATATAACTAACCAAAAATAACTTTCTTTCCTAGGTGCCAGGCTCCTAGTGAAGGGGTGTAGGGAGCTAATTTCTCCCTCTTTCTCTCTCTCTTTTTGTTTTGGATAACATTTTTAATAGAAAAGAAACAGGGCAGATGGAGAAGCTGTGTGTGGCAAGAACAGGGTATAAGAAGTAAGTACAGTTAGAAGAGATGAAAGAAGCTGCTCATGAAATTAGGTCTACTACTTGGGATAATCAGAGAAGTTCCAATAAGTTTCTCGATTACAGAGAAGTGCCTAGTAAAACCCAAAAGAAAATGTTTTGGTTTATGTTCAAAATGTTATTTGTGAATGTATCAAGAAAACATAATAAAACCTTAGGTAGCATGTTTGGGAGTAATTTAGCTATATCTCTATCTGTACATTTATTTTATTTTTATTTTTATTATTTTTTTGAGACAGAGTTTCACTCTTGTTGCCCAGGCTGGAGTGCAATGGCATGATCTCAGCTCACTGCAACCTCTACCTCCTGGGTTCAAGTGATTCTCCTGCCTCAGCCTCCCAAGTAGCTGGAATTACAGGCATCCGCCACCTCATCTGGCTAATATATATATATTTTTTTTTTTTTTTTTTTTTTTTTTTTTTTTTAAGTAGAAACGGGATTTCACCATGTTGGCCAGCTGGGTCTCGAACTCCTGACCTCAGTGGTCCACCTGACTCAGCCTCCGAAAGTACTAGGATTACAGGCATGAGCAACCACGCCCAGCCTAACTTATTTTAAATAAGACAGCTGAATTCGGAGCTGTATGGCTACTGTTAGTAACTACTTAGTTTAGGGATTTTTTTTTTTTTTGGTGAGGTTTCTTTGTTTTTTGGTTTGTGTTTTTTAAACAAATATCCTAAACTTGTTTTAAACAGTAAATCTTAGCCGTAGACATGTGTTGGCTATTTCATAAATTTAATAAAAGGTGCAAATAAATAGGAAAAATAGTTGAATTTGGAGTTCAATTCAAAGTGAATTGACCCTTAATTTTGAAAATAGTCATTCTACATTTTTGTCAAATTAGTATTTGTGACTCTAATATGTTTTCTGGTATTATCTGTGCATTTTCAGCCTGGATTTTCTGTTTGATTAAAACTAAAGTTTTTGTTCAGTTGATTTTTCGAGTGGAAGCCAGGGCCAAAGCAGCACATCAGAAGCCATATAGCAAAATAAAATTAAAACAAAAGACATAAAACAGACCAGTTCCATTTGCTGTGAAGGGGTTTGTAGCAGCTCAGTTCCTGTCAAACTGCATGAATGGAAACCAAGAAGTGTGTCACCTGACAGGGACTAGTTTCATCCCTCTCTTGTAGCTGCTTTTGGACCCTGGAGTTGACATACTCTGTGCTTTACCTCCTTCCATCAATACTGGGGCCTAGGAACATCCTTATTCCTCAGATTAAGGGAGGACTTTCTTAAGATGCTATGTGCCCAAAGGCTCTAGGGCATAAGCTTGAAGAATTATCTATATGTTGTCTCAAATCTTGTTAAATTCTCCTTTTCACCAATGGTGACATTCCTTATGCTTTTCTTATTTTAATCCAGGCAAACCCTTTTTTACACGAAACCCTTCTGAGTTGAAAGGCAAGTTCATTCACACAAAGCTGCGGAAAAGCAGTCGTGGCTTTGGCTTCACGGTGGTTGGAGGGGATGAACCTGATGAGTTTCTGCAGATCAAGAGTTTGGTCCTAGATGGTCCTGCTGCATTGGACGGCAAGATGGAAACAGGTAGCGTCCACATGGCCTTAGTGTGTTCTGTGTGGTGAGACTCCAACCCAGAACATAAAGATGTGCAATCATGACATTGTTTGGTTTGAGCAAGACCAGACAGCGTCGTGATTGCACATGTTTATACCTTTAAACACCTTGAGAATGAGCCCGGTCTCCACATTATATAAATTCATCCCTTGGGGCAGATTGAAACCTGTGAAGTCATTTTAACTTCGGGAAACTGTGTGACTACAGTAAAGCAATAAGTTACTAAAAATGTAGATCCCCATTTAAATAAATGAATTCTAAACTTGGATTTCTGCAGTGAGATTTTTTTTTAGGAGAAAGCTCCAATGTTCTTTCAGGGATTATTATATTCTCATTAGCAGGGAAGATACTAGGTGCTGAAAGAACACTTTATTAGCTGTTAAAATCAGTAATAGAAGCAGTTTATGCCCTATAGTACCACACCCATGTGCAGTTTCAGTTCAGTTTCATATTAGTGGAATATATTATAATACTGATGGCAATTTTATGGGTGCTGTTTTCTTAACTCCCACACTCTTGCCTTCTACAGGGGATGTGATTGTCAGTGTGAATGACACCTGTGTTTTGGGACACACACATGCTCAAGTTGTGAAGATCTTCCAGTCCATCCCCATTGGTGCCAGCGTGGACCTTGAACTCTGCCGAGGTTATCCATTGCCTTTTGATCCAGATGACCCCAATACAAGTTTAGTGACCTCGGTAGCTATTTTGGATAAAGAACCAATTATTGTAAATGGGCAAGAGACCTATGATTCACCAGCTAGCCACAGTAGTAAAACAGGCAAAGTCAATGGCATGAAGGATGCCCGGCCAAGCAGCCCAGCGGACGTGACTTCAAATAGTTCTCATGGTTATCCTAATGACACTGTTTCTTTGGCTTCCTCCATAGCCACTCAGCCAGAACTCATAACTGTTCATATTGTCAAAGGGCCAATGGGCTTTGGTTTTACTATCGCAGACAGTCCTGGTGGGGGTGGCCAAAGAGTGAAACAGATTGTTGACAGCCCAAGGTGCCGAGGCCTGAAAGAAGGGGATCTCATAGTGGAAGTTAATAAGAAGAACGTGCAGGCCCTAACTCACAACCAAGTGGTGGATATGCTGGTTGAGTGTCCTAAGGGAAGTGAGGTCACATTGTTGGTGCAACGAGGAGGTAAGTAGGTTTGTTTTGTTCTTTGAATTTTTTTTTTTAGTCCCAAATTCATTGCTTAACTTACTCATCTTCAGATGACCACTGGGGGCTTTTTAAATGTGTATTCCTTTAAGTTCGTTTTTATTTAAATGCTTCAAAATGCCTACTGATTTCTCCAAATACTAACCTCTTTCGCATAAAAATTATGGTTTATACATTATGTCAGACATATGCAGTTAGAGTGGTACTTTAAAACAGAAATCAGATTATGCCTTTTTAAAACGTTAAGATTTAAAAAACCTAACTTGGGTGTGGTGGTACCTACCTGTAGTCCTGGCTGCTTGAGAGGCTGAGATGGGAAGATCACTTGAGCCCAGGCATGTGAGTCCAGACTGGGCAACATAGTAAGACCCCATTCTCTAAAAAGTGTTTTTAAAATAAAAAATAGTAATAATAGCCTGTATCCTTTAAGCCTCCTGAACTTGGCCTGCATAGCCTGCAAAATGTGGCTGTGATCACTCCTCGAAACTTATCTCATGTTCCTCTCCTCCATCTGATGGTGCTTTATCCACACTGGCTGCTTATATGGAACTCCTTTAATGCTTCAAGCCTTTTCTTGCCTCAGGCCCTTTGTACTTACTGTCCCCTCTACCTGGAATGGTCCTTTCCCAGCTCTTCCCAGCTGGCTCAGTCTCATTTAGGTCTCCTTCTGAGAGAGGGCTTCTCCCATCACTTTTTCTAAAGTAGCTCCAACACTTCCATATAATCTTGATCACATTTCTTCGTAACCTTGATCATCATCACCTTTTTAGCACAAGGCGTTATTTCATGCTTTTATTTATTTTTCAGTATTTGTCTTTCATGAGAATATAAATTTCCATAAAGCTAGGGCCCGTGTATGCATGTGGACAGCTGTTGTCCCCAGCATTTAACACAACACCTGACTCCTTTTAGGTATTTATGAATGAATAGGTATTAAGTGAATAGGTGTGTGATTATTTCTATTTGGCAGAAACAAGAGGTCTGCTAATCATATTAAACACTTCCCTCAACATGCTCACATTTTAATGAAGTAGTTGAGGATCTCAGAGATCTGGGTTATTCTAAATCTTTAGGCATTAAACTTCCTCCTTTCTCCTTGAGTCCACATCCCACCCTCTGCTTCACCAGAAAACACAGGACCTCACACTGAGCAATATTTTCCACCATATTGAAATGCCTTGCTCTTGGAATACGTACACATATGTGATTAGTCGTGACTGATAGTTTCACACAGTGGGCCTGAGAATGGCTGTTTCCCTGCTCCTTGTCACCATGATGTGTTTCATGAACAACATATTCAGGCCTTTTGAAAAGAGATCAAGAACCATACTTTTATTTCCTTTTGGTTTGTTGCAACTGAGGAGTTCATTTGTGTCACAGCAGCCCGATTCTCATGTTTTCGTGAATCTGTGTGTTCTGCGATCAGAATGGCTGGGGTCATTTGAAGGAAACCCAAAATACAGAGCACCTATCTATGTGAATTGAAATGCTCAATGAGCCTGGCTTAGGCAGTTACAAAAGGCACTGTGCAAATTTTATTTTTCTAAATGTCGTTTCCACTAACTAATTTTCAAGTCCCTTCTTGTACCTAGATCACTTGACTGCCCAGAGAACTTGTTTTAAACAGTAGCCAAGATGTATGTAGTGGGAAATGACTTGGGTATAAGAACGATTATGACAATAATGATGATGGTGATGGTGAAACCTGGCACTTATAGAAGAATCAGTGATAGACAAAGCACTTTCATACCTGCACCTACCTCTCCTCTGATATTTGTCACTTTGCTGTGAAGTAGGAAGGTGCCACCCCACAGTAGTTCTGAGCTGTTCACCCTGGCTCTGTGGTTTCCAGTCCAATGTTCTGTCCCACTTAACTGAGTGACACTGATTTTTGTATAGTTGCTTAATACTGTGACTGACAACCCGGAAACTTTCAAATGGTTCTTGGTACATCAGGTGCACCTCTGTTTCAGCCACTGCTCATTTGACAGACACAAACCACCTTGTTCTCCAAACTCATCTATCTGCTTTCTCATTTCTGTTATTGATGTGTTAAGTTTATTATCTCTTTAGATTCACTTCTAAGGACACCAAACATAAAGTTTCATTATAGCCAACTAACTTACACACTTAATGAACCATATTGTAATGAATTTGCCTAAGCCAGCAAACAACTGATTATAGAAACATGCTCCTTGATTTTATTTTTTATTTTTTTTTTTGAGGCAGGGTCTCACTTTGTCACCCAGGCTGGAGTGCAGTGGTGCCATCTCAGCTCACTGCAGTCTCAACCTCCTAGGTTAAAGTGATCTTCCTGCCTCAGCCCCCCAAAGTAGCTGAGACTATAGGTGCATGCCACCACTCCCGGCTGATTTTTGTATTTTCAGTAGAAACTATTTCTCCATGTTACCCGTGCTGGTCTTGAACTCCTGTGCTCAAGGGATCCACCTGCCTCAACCTCCCGAAGTGCTAGAATTACAGGCATAAGCTGCCATGCCTGACTATACTCCTTGATTTTAAATATGTTTGCATTCTCTCTTCTTAATTCCCAATGCCATCTTCTTATTAATGCTGTTACATTTTATAACATTTATATGAAAAATCCAGAATATATCACCATATTCATCAACATCTACATAGTTTATTTCAGAACATGAGTAATTTAAAATCACTGTGACATCAGCAGTCTTTAAAATACACCATATGTCTTGTGTTTGATTTATGTATAGGATAGAAAGTTTGTACATCTGCACTTGGCAGGCTAGCGCCAGATACTATTAATCTTTCTGGAAGGCATATAAATATATTTGTTTCTGCCATACATTAGTTGCTTGAATCAGAGCTGACGTTTAATCATCTCTTCTGTATAGCGGGGGTGTAATGAGAAGGCTTGATGAAGGTACAAGACAACAGCTAGGTTGAATGAGAAAGTAAATGACCACTTCACCGATTCTTTCTAATGAATCTAATTTATTTTGTAACTGCTAGTAAGATGACTGATAAACTCATCTACACTGTTCCACGAGTCTCAGGAATTCCTGTCATGAGGTTGTAGCTTTCTGTGCTTTAAAGAACGGGCCATTTTTACTTTGGGACAGAACTGGCTTTTATGTTTGTAGCATCCATTTTAATTCCTAATCTCTAGAGCTTGTTTTTGACATTTGTTCTTGTCAAGATCTAATACATTTCATTTTTAGTGTTTTTAGTCCATCCCCCTTCCCTCATCTGGAAATCGAGCTGAAAGTTGAAATATCATTTGTAAATGTCCAGGGTCAGTTTCCTCAGTCAGGCTTAGAGCTGCTGTGCAGTGTTCATCTATACTCCCAAGTAGCCAGGACCAGTCCTGATTTGCTTACAAATCTCTTCGTCAACATCTCCCTGCTTGCCAGTCGATCACTCAGGTTTTTAAAGGGCAGCTCCTTTCTGTGTCTGGTTCCCCTCTTCCAATTGTGTGTCCTTACTCCTCCCCCTCTGCTGTGCAGTCAGGAAAGTGCTTTTTATCCTTTTATTTTGCACACAGCATCTGCATTCAGAAATTCTGTCACCTGACGCCAGTGTGCATGTAGAGGCTTCTTTGAAGTGTTTGGAAAATCAAGTTAGTTTGTGGATTTTTATTTTTAATTTGTAAGAGCTTCGAACTTGTCCCATAAAGATTTTTTACTTTTTTAAAAGAAGGCTCATGTAGATAGCGTAACTACCTGTGCCCCTCTGTGTCAAATATTTTGGATATTCAGCAAATTCACACCTATCAGTAGGTGTGACACTCTTTAAGACGTAATTTCATGCTGAGTCACAACACTGTGTTTCAAGAAAAGATTTGGCAACACTGTATGCAAGTGAAGATCCTATGTTTTACTTTTGAAAGAAGGCATGTATTAAAAAGAAAACTGAACCCGGGATGCCAGGAGCTGACCTTGAGTACAAACTCTGCCCGTAAGCTGCTGTATAAGCTGCTGTATGTGCTTGAGAAGGGTACTACTTCTACCCTGACACTTATTTTTTTAATCTAAAAGATGAATGTTTTGAGCTAGAGAATCTTTCAGGCACTCCTTTCTGGCTCAAATTTTATGCATGGGATGACCTTATTGCTGTATAGAGGAGAGACCACAGGACTCTGGAGCCAGAGGATGCAAGTTTAAATCCTGCTCCTGCGTTACTTGCATTGTGACTTTAGGCAAGTCACTTGGCTTCTCTGAGCTTAGACTTCTGAAAAAAATGGGCATGATGTACATAGATTAAATAAATAAGGTAGCGTTTGTGCCAGTTCCTGACATAGTAGTCATCACATGATAAAGCAATAGTAGCAATTGGGTGGGGAAGGATTGTTTGTATTTTATTTTTTATAAAAAGTTCTAGCTGGGCCATACAGATTGTATGATACTCAGGCATCTGTTTTTTTTTTTCTTTTTTTTTTTTAAAGAAGTTCTAATGGTAGGTTTTTTTTTCTTCTTCATCTTCTCTTGATACAGGGTCCTGCTCTTTTGCCCAGGCTGGAGTGCATGATCATGGCCCATCACAACCTCAAACTCCTGGGCTCAAGTGATCCTCCTGCCTTAGCCTCCTGAATAGCTAGGACTACAGTCATGGGCCATCATGTGTGACTAATCTCTTTTAAAAAATTGTTTTGTAGAGACAGGGTCTCACTGTGTTGCTCAGGTACCACTGGTGATTCTGATGTACAACCAGAGTTGCAAAAAATGTTAGGCTTCTGCCTCCACGGTCCCTTCTAGTTTTGATTCTTTGACCTATAAGTTGGATGAAAATAAGTTTATAAAGCTTATTTAATATTTTCATTTCTGAGTAATGTTCATCTTTTTAAGGCTGTTTTGTGACAGATTTCTCAGTCTTTCCTAAGGTCCATTTCAGCTCCCACATTCTACATTTTTATACTTCCAAGGAGAATAGAAGGGGGACTTGCTGTTGGAGATGCTCGTTTAGAGTGCCATCTCCCACTGGCTTTTGCTGATCACAACAGTAAC